CCTGTGACAGGTGCTAAATATAGCCGTGGCAGTTCGAGAGGAGGAGAAATAGCGTCAATAGGTGTGTCTGGCGACAAAATCTTGAGATGCGAGTCCAGGCAAAAAAGATAACAAATGCGCCCGCCGGGAATCGAACCCGGGCCAACAGCTTTCAACAATGGAAGGCTGCTATTCTGCCACTAAACAACAAGCGCACTAAACTTGAGCAAATTCGCCAAGCTTCTCTGTAGTAAATAAATGGAATATATATGCCAATTGTGTAATTTTGTAATATTGAGCAAACTTCTACAAAAATCGGCTCCGATCTCCAACGTCTCTCCTCAAACTTCACGGGATACACCGAGAGGAAACTGATCTTATCTATACTGGGTAATTTACTGGTTCTTCCACCATGATATCCTAATAAAACTGCACTCAAAGGTTGCACCAAAAAAAATTCTAACAAATACATCAAGCGTCACTCAAGCTCCGATTTCCAATGTCTCTTCTCAAAACTCACGGGATACACTGAGAGAAAACTGCTCTCATCAATACCAGGTGATTCACTGTGTTTTCATTCGCAATATTCTCATTAAACTCTGTGCTTAAAGGTTGCACCTAAAATCAATTATGTATTGTGCAATGGATCCTATGTTGGAATTTGAACTAGTATGTAGTAGTGGCCTTGTCCAAATAGCAGCCCCACTTATATTATGTTATTGGGGGCTGTTATTTGCCCCTGAATAACAAACCCCTGCCAAAAGCTTATTTAATAAACAGACATGTTTTTGGCAATTGTTATTCACCTGCACCTTCACTCACATGCACCCCTTGGTTACTCTTTTTGATAACTTTTTTATGTTTGCTCTACAGTTTGCATCTCTTCACTATCCCTCTTTCTTTTACCTTCAGTCTAAATTCTAAAGTAGTTTCTGATGATACATGTCTTTAAATTCCAGACCAGCTAGGAAAAGTGCAACCCAAATACAACACAAACCAGTCTTCATAGTTTGTTGACTACAACTCTATCCACAAGATGTTCCACTCCATTAACATAATGGCAGTATATGACATTAATGGTAAGTTTATCTATGTTTGCTCTGGGGCTCCAGACAGACAACATAACACTCTGATATGCACCATATGCTTGTTTACAACACGCAGATCAGATTACTTTAGTACTGGTGAATACCTTTTAGCCGACTATGGATATGCACTCTCACATGCAGTGATACCATGGCATAATCGTAACATGGCACCTGAAAGCTCAACACATTCTAGATTCAATGCTTTACATGATGCAGCTTGGTCCACTATTGAACGTGCATTTGGATGAACCAAACACTGCTTTCCTGGCCTGGATCCAATCCTCATCAAGCTTGGAACATCAAAGGCAAACACCAAGGCCAATAATATGATTGTAGCTGCCTTTTGCTTGGAATACATTTGCCATCAATTTCGCGACTTTGGTGATGACTTTGAAGATAGCAAGCAAGAAGTTGAAGTGAATGGCCAAGACAATGATGATGAGAGCCTCATCTATTGGCAGAACTGGTAGATTTAAGATATCTTATTAGATAATTCAAAAGGTCAAGAGCTCACTCCTCCATGACCTCCAGCTCAAGAGGTTTTGTGTGTTCTTGACCTCAGAGTTCTGCCATGAGCTCAAATACGCGTCAGTTGGTGATTCGTCTAGTTGGTGCTAGAGGAGTCCAATCAGCATGAGTGGAGATTGGCAGATTTTCGGGAATAGCAGCCAACACTCCTCCATTCCTAGACGTTTCTTGCCAGTCCCAGTAACTTTGTACAGTGTCACTGGTGATGTTATCTTCATTGGTCCACTCTGACTCAGCATTGGCATATCCAGTGTACTTGACCAGGTATTGGTACTTGTTTCCATGGATCTGGTGCTTGATGATGTGGTCAACAGCATGATAGTCATCTAGGCCATTAACAGGTCCAGGGCAAGGCAGCTCATCAGATCTGGAGATGTAGGGCTTGAGGTTAGAGATGTGGAAGACATTGTGTGCGCGGATGTAGCTTGGTAGTTTGATTCAGTAGGTAACAGATGATAGTGCTTGATTCACCCTGAATGGACCCAGCCAGCAGTTGCTCAGCTTGTCTGAAGATCAGTGATGCTCAAAGTCCATTGTGAGCATGTTGGCACTAATCATCACTTGGTCGCCAGCTTTGAAGACTGTCACAGTGAGATCGATTGATGTAGGCAGTCATAGCATCCTGAGAAGAGGTGAGTGTGTCATGTGCTTGTTGGATTGCAGTGGCATGTGAGGACAGAAAGTCTGCAAGTGACTTGTTTGCATGAGTGGCTCTGGGGTTCAGCAGGACGTTTGGTAGAACTGGCTCATGTCCATGTACAACAAACATGGGTGTCAACTCAGTACCAGATTGATGAGATGAGTTGATTGTAAACTTGGCAAACAGCAGAAGCTCATCCCAGTTGTCTTGGTCATAGTCCACAAATGCGCGTAATACTTGCTCAACTGTTCTGTTTCACCTCTCCATTTTGCCATCACCCTCTGCATGTCTTGCTGTTGTCATGTTCATGCATACACCACAGAGTTGCATAAGCTCAGTCCAGAAGTCAGAGGTAAAACGCAGGTCTCAGTCAGACACAATGACACAGGGCATGCCATGGTGGCAGAAAACATGCTCAAAGAACAAACGTGCAAGCACTGGTGCAGTTGACTGTCTCTCCTTCAGTGGGATCAGATAGGTGAATTTCGACAGTTTGCACACAATGACGAATATGACGTCATGACCTTGTTTAGTCAATGGCAGTCCAGTGACCAAATCCATCGAGACAGTGTGGAACAGGAAAGGCGGGACAGCATGGGGCTGGAGTAGTCCATTCTTGCTAACAGTGCGATCCTTGATGTGCTGACAATGGTCACAGGAGCCAATGTAATGCTCAACTGACTTGACCATCCTTGGCCAGTAGAATTCGCGCAGATGTGCAAGTGTAGCATCTACTGCCAGGTGTCTAGCTGTGGGCAAATCGTGGTTGCGTCAAATGATCTCTGTGTGCAGTGCACCAGTGTGAGGAATACAGAGTCGCAGGTGTGTGTCAGCAACAAAGTACAGGAGACCATCAACAAGCTCATAGCATCTGATCTTGGTTGCCAGGGTCTTCTCAATGGCCTTGTCCAGGTGTGAGAGGGCATGGTGTACTGTCTTGAATGCTGAATCCTGCGCATAGCCCTGACGGATCTTGTTGCGCAGCGTTTCGTCACCCTCAAGCACAGCAATGGCTGAGATCTCAAAGTCAGGACATTGGGAGAGACCATCAGCAAGCTGGTTGTCCTTGCCAGGCTTGTAGCAAATGTCTAGGTCATGTCCACTGATAGAGTTGAGCCAGCGTAGCTGCATGTTGTTTAAGTTCTTCTGTGTTTGAATGTATTTCAATGGGTGGTGATCCATCTCAACTACAACATGACGTCCTGCTAGATAGTGGTGCCAGTGATCGAGGCTCTCAACGATAGCAAACAACTCCTTGTTCTGGACCTCATACTTGCACTGGGCATTGTTGAGTTGTTTGGACATGAATTCAACAGGATGACGTCCATCAGGATGCTCTTGTTCTAACACAGCACCAATGCCGTAGTCACTTGCATCAGTTACTAAAGTCGTTGGGCATCCCTCATTGAATGGCTTGAGAACTGGTGCAGAGCATAGTTGCTGCTTCTGTTGGAATGTTCTCTCTTTTGCTCTATATCTCTCTTGCAGACGTCTAGTGTTCACTTCTCACACTATTCCTCAAGGGTTCCATTCCCTTCTGTGCTGACTTCTCTGGCCAATCCCTCTCTCTATTTAAACTCTTCTTTGTTTCCTTCTCTTCTCTCTTGTTTCCCTCAGTAAACAAATCTTCAATTTTAACACTTGGAGGGAACATGCTCGAGTTCATACATGCCTTGCTGGAAGAGGTTGTGTGGCAAATGTAACTTGCAGTGATAGTGCTTGTTGTCCTCAGTGAGAGATCCCAAATGCGCAAGTAGAACAGCTGCTTGGTTGTCGCAGAGAACCAGCGGCTTGGGCATATCAATGTGCAATTGCTCAAGTAAATTGCATATCCACTGCAATTCACAAATGCCTGCATTGAGAGCATAAAGCTCAGCCTTGGCAGTCGACTGGGGAATTGCAGACTTGACTTTCTTGGGCCTCCAGGTCACTGCACCACCAGCAAGCTTGAACACATATCCAATGTTCACCAAGTCAGCACCAGAGTGGAAGTTGTTGATATTCTGTTTTGGTTCTGGCCTAGTAACCATGTCGATCCTTTCTCTAAGTTCTGCATCTCCAGTTTGGGTAAAACTCTTATCAGGCCCCAAGACGTCCTTTGTTTTAACTTAGCTGTTTTCTCTAACTTCTTATTCTACATACATTCAGCTCAAACAGAAGTAGTTCACATCCATGTATCCAGTTAGGCGAGACAAGTCATCACAAGTATAGGTGATGCCCAGCTTGGCACTGCTTGAGATAACGAATGACATGCTTGGCAGCTGTGAGATGAGTGACAGATGGCTTAGAGTTGAATGATCCAAGAGTAGACGCAGCATAGGCAATGTCAGGGCAAGACACACAGGCAAGGTACTGAAGAGATCCAACAATTGACTGGTACTCCTTGATATCTGCAAGCTTGTCATCTGGTGTAGTCAGCAGTAGCTTGGTAGTAGCAGGAAGTGGAGTGCTAGCTGGGTTTGCATGTTGCATTCCTTGCTTGTCCAGTAGACGAAGTATCGCAGCTTCTTGATTGATGCGAATCTGGCCTGGCTGTTGCACAACGTCAATACCAAGGATGGTAGTGCACAAGCCCAGATCCTTCATCTCGAACTCTGCAGACAAGGCATCCTTGGGCACTGAGATGTCAGCAGAAGTGGAGGCAGCAATGAGCAGATCGTCGACATACATAGTCACCATGCAGATATTGCCAGGACCAGAGCGATTAATGTACACACC